CATGAGACATGGTCCTAGGAAAGCTACAGGAATTGAACAGAGACAAGTCAACAGAAAGGCCACTTGGGAAGCAACCAACAAGGCCACAGGGGCAGAGCTACACAAGTCCTTTGGAGATGACATCATGACAAATGATCCAGATTCCAAACAAAGAACTATAAGACCTGTTTGCCCAGCTGGATTTTGGTCTTGCTTTGGTCCTATCCCTTCTTTCTCTATTGCTATTTTTACAAATGGAAATATCTACTAAGTACCTTTATATATTAGATATTTGTAAATTGCTTTTAATTTTACAGGAGCTCACTATGCAAGATTCTCTTGAGCCTCAGAGAAGACTTTGGACTTGAACTTTGAGCAATCTTGGAACTGTTGAGACTTAGGGGACTCTTGGGAATTAACTAAATGTATTTTGCATTGTCAGATGCATGTGAGCTTTGGGGGTTGAGGTGAAATATTATGGTTTGGATTGAGGTGTTCCCCCAAAACTCATGTGTGAGACAATACAAGAAAGTTCAGAGAAGAATGATTGGGTTGTGAGAGCCTTAACCCAATCAGTGAACAAATCCCTGATGGGATTAACTGAATGGTAATGGAGGAGGTGGGGCACTGGGAGTGTGGCTTGGAGTATATATTTTTATCTGGTGAGTGAAGTCTCTCTCTGCTTTCTGATCATCATGTGAACTCTTTCCCTCTGTCACACTCTTCTATCATGATGTACTCTTCTATCATGTGTTCTGGGCGATCTCGTGCCCTGAGGAATAGAGCCAGCTTTCTATGGACTGAGACCTCTTGAAATCCTAAGTCTCCAAATAAATTTCCTCTTAAAATTGTTCTGGTCAGATCTTTTAGTCATAGCAGTGAAAAAGCTGACTAAAACACCCCTCATCTTTTAAGTATGGAGAATGAGGCTCCCAGTCACAAGGCAATTTAATGGCAGACAAACTAAAACCTTGGTATTTTGTGGCTTTTCCATAATATTACTATGATTTTTAAAAAAATGTGATAAATTTCTTAAAATTCAGAGTTATTGAGTGTTTTTTTCCCTTCTTCCACGTACTTATTTTTTTCCGAAGGACATGAATCCAATTAGTACATTTCTTTGGTGATAAGTACTCATCAAGCTCTGTCCATTCACTCATTTATTCTGTGTGCCTGATTTTTCCCAGGTCATTTTTAAAAATATTATGTTTTCAGAATTCTTAAACAGCCTAAAAAAACATTATACCTTGAAAGTGAATATAGAACACATGTGTTTATTATTAAAGTGAAGGTTATGCTCATTCCCCCACCCCCATTGTCAGTGAGAATTTAGAATCTTGGCCGACCTCTTACAGAGGTAGAAGTCCACCCTCAGTGGGAGCAGCTGTGACTGTGAAGGAAGCTACAAATAACATGCTGGGAATTCAGCAGGCACTGTTATTATATCCTGTTTATACTGTCATTTTTCCTATCAGTAGGATATTATTTATACAGACCCCACCCATGAACTTCTTGTTTATCTTATTATACAAACCTGCCAAATCTATAATAAGAAATTTCTGTACTTGTTTCTGGAACAACACATGTTATAATTTTGTACCTCGCTACACTTTTTAGCATTTTTTTTTTTTTTTTTTTGGTTGTTGTTGTTGTTATGCACCATTCGTTCTCATTTTTATCTCAAGGTGGATTTCACATATTAGAGTTGAACTTAAATGACTTAATTTAAGAGAATCTGTTACAGGACAAAATTCCAGAACATCACATTCTAAACTTTATTTTGGGGATAGATTTCATTGTGTAGATGTTCTTTTCAGATAAACTTGACTAATTTGTTTAAAGACAGAAAACTGTGTCTACACACCATTCAGGTGTTCTAGGGAGTAAGCAATGGATGCTGAGGATTCATTTCCCAGGCTCTTTCTATTCTAGGTATGTCAATTATGAGGGTCAGCCTTTATTCAGACTCTTACTAACTTTCTATACTCTTCAGTTAGCAGCTCTGTCCTCGTTTGTTAGCTTGATGGCTTGACAGGCTGGGTAAAAATGTAACATAATAAATAATATAGTAGAAACAAAAGAATTAAAGTAAATTGGCCAAAAGAAAAAAATATGCCAGTCTGGTTACCAATGTTCCTCATAGATCCTCTGTAGATTAAAAAAAAAAAAAAAAAAGTAATTTTCTTATGGGCAAAAACTCATGTGGCATATGTTAACCAAATAAATAATTATTCTTGTAAAGGTCACAATGCACTATTTTTCACATTTAGTTTGTGTTAACATCATCAACAATCCCTTTATATCACAAAGTAGCTCTACAAGGTAGCTAGGTAAACAGGAAATGTTCAGAATGCCTGTTCAATGGTAGCCTCTGGGCATGTGTAGGAAAAGGTCACTGCCTTTGAAGACCACTCCTCTAAAATGGTAACTAAAATGAGCACTAACACTTAGGGCAGGGAAATTCAGAATACATTATAACAGCAAAAGATAACAGCTGAGATAATATTGAAAAATGGAGATTGATGAGGAGATAAAAGGCCTCCTAGGTAACAATGAAGAATGTAAAAGCATACACCTGAGCAGAGCTCTGGAAACTACAGGAGTTTTGCTGAATATGGTTAGAGGGTATGCTGAATAGAAGATGAAGGAAAGGAAGCTAGAGTTGTATTACATGGAATTTTTTTTAGACTCTTAGTGGAGAATCACTAAAGATATGTGCCTGAGGAAGGATGAACCCAACCCAAGTTTTTGGAGTAGAAATGAAAAGGAAGAACAAGTTGGGGTGATGCTGAAAAGACTTTTTAACACTACAGAGTTCCACAATTATGGGAGCAAAAGGAAGGTCCATGTGCTATATAACAGATGATAACTGTCTAAATATGTATTTCAACTCTTGCTTTCAAAAACAAGAGCTGGCATACTACTGAATGATGTAATGTTAAACAATGTCAACCAACTGAAGTTAATGTCAGGAACATTTACTAGTCTCCTAGAATATTATTTCTCAAACCTAAATCACTTGGAGATGTGGTTAAAATTGTTCTCAGTAGGTTTAAAGTGGTACTTTTGTATTTTTACATTTCTAAGAAGCTCCAAGGTGATCTCAACACAGCTGTTTCATGGACTATATTTTGAGAAGCAAGATATGAAGACATCTTTCAGTTTCTTATCCAAAATGGCAATATTTGATGTACCATGTTTAGCCAATTATGGTATATCTAGTGCTTTTAGATGTGCCTGAGAAACACTTTCTAAAGGAATCTTATTAGGATTTGCATCAATGTTGGATGGGTTTCAAAGGCACTATTTTAAAAGCCCAAGATGATTAAAGATTCAGTGTATATAACACATTCAGAAATATTTCTACCTGAACAATATCAACTTTGTAATGATGTACTACAATTTTGTCTTTTTTTAAAGTCTTATAAACTAGAATATACTATCGCTTCCAGTCATGAAGGCTGAATTAAAAGTGCAAAACGACAAAATTCCATCTATTCATAGCCTGTCACATCAGTGAGTTTCAATAAAACCTGTGTAACTTGCCCTTATACTGTACTGTAGTAAGCACCATGACTTAGTGCTTGAAGATAAAGATTAAGAATTTTAAATAACCCATTGATAAACACCTAAAGATAATAATTAATTTCACACCCCTCCTTGGGTTTAAGACTTCTAAATGGGCTAGGAGCAGTAGCTCATGTCTATAGTCTCAGCAAATTGGGAGGCAGGCAAGAGAATCCTAGTTCAAGGCCAGCCTCTACAACTTAGGGATACCCTGTCTTAAAAGAACAATAAAAAAGGGCTAGGGGTATAACTCAGGGATAGAGTAAACTGAATTAAGTCCCCAGTACCTGCCCCCCTCCACAACTTCTATATGGAAGGGCATGTCTTAAAACTCTCACCAAGAAAAGAGACGTGTCATTTACAAAAATATATCACTATTATATAATAATAGATTACTCCCACATCTAGCTGAACTTCGATATTTGGTATTTGAAATGAAAGTTAAAAATCCTTAATCTTAAATTTTGTTTTTCACCAAATTAATACTCAGTAACAGCCTTCTAAGTAAATTAGTTTCAATACATATCAATGTCTCAGAAGAGAAAGACTATCTTAAAATTGAAAGATACCATTGAAGATCAGATCCAGGTTTTTCATTATAGAAACACAGAATTTCATAAAGAAAATTGTGGCACAGAGAATGAAAAGTCTAAAGACACATAGGTTCCTAGTGTTAAAAAAAAAAAAAAGAGGGTAAATCAATTTTAAGTTTACTAATGTCAAACATACAACACTGAAACTACAAAATGTAGCTGAAAGAGATTCTGGTTCCTCCAATAACTAGACAGAGTTAATACTTTAGATTCTTATAAATCACTGAAATGCAAGAAAAAGACCACATACCAACAAAGACATGCTAAGACCAAATTTAAGAACTTTATATAAAATGCAATCTGAATAGAGAATGACACATATATACCACATATTAAAGATGGGTTTTGGGTGAGGGTGGAGAATGGGATGGGATATAAATAACAAAGAGAAGACAATGGTAACACATCTTCTCAATAATGGTTTGAGGAAAGCTTTCACACACAGAAAAGTGGTTACAAAATCCCCATAGCTTCTTTGCCCTCACAAATCACTCTTTAACTGGTACAATAAGGAACTCAATTTGGAGGACTCCAAAGCTTTTATAAATTAAATGGAGCTAGCATTTGGATGTGCTTGTGTCATAAGCTTTGTTACAATTAAAACTAGAGAAACCTATTTTTAGCCATAACATATCAAATTTTTTGCTTATTACAAATGCTATAAAACTTACTAGCACATGTGAAAAAAAAAGAATCACTGGAGAAGTTCTGTGATAACAGAGACAATGGTTTTAAATCATAGGCATACATTATTATGCCTAAGTTGACAAATCTGCACTGCAATGCAGAAATGCAAATAACATCTGCACAGAAGGCAGAGACAAGACATAATTTCAGAATAAAGGGGTCTTCAGCTCTTACCTGTTACCTGTGCAACAACTGCTTGGGAAATCCTCCGATTGGCAAGAAAGGCTTTGATTTCCTCTTTTATCACACTGCTGTCCCTCCTAACAAAAACAGAAGACAAGACCAACAATGTATGTTGAAGGTAGAAATCCTCATCTTTGCTAAAAGAAACGTGAAGCAGAGAGGAGGGGAGAACACAGAAAGAAAGGACACAAAAATAAAAAAGGTAAACGAACCAAACTTGTGTGAAAATATGAAATTACAACAAACCAAGAACACCAAATATTTGAGTGCTTAAACATCACAACATCAGACAGACACTTTACTGAATGCCACTGGAGACATCAGTCTAATATCAGTTATGGTTCATCTCATGCATGCTGTATATAACTCACATTAGGAACAGGGCTGTCACATAGTATTTATGAAGTTTTTTACTGGTAAGTAAATATATGTTACGCAGAAATTCCAGAAAAATGAAAAGCAACGAGAAAATCAGTCGTGAATAGACTACGGGTCTGTATATTAACTAAGCAACTGTGCGCACACTGTTCTCTTAAAAATCTTTAAAATGATTAAGGAAGAAACCGTTATCATTCTCACAGCTGAAAATACCAGCCATTTTAAGAAAGGCTTTGCCTTGTTTTTGTTGTATAAAAAAATTAATGGGATAGGTGGAATATTAAACTTTACTGCTGAAAAAGTACGTATTAATAAAAACTACACTTTATTCTGTTCGTAGGATTATATATTCTAGACCTATTTTTTCCTTTATTAAAATGCCTATTACAAATTTTTACTTCCTTAAAAATTCAACAAATTCTCAAAAGACCAGACTTTTTTATGAGAAAGACAAGGAAAGGCAAGACTTCTGTTTCTCCACTAGAACAAACAGAATACCTAAATACAAGCATATGTAAACCCTTAGAACTGACCAATTTCTCTTTGAATGCCTTATCTTCAATAAGATTACAAAAGTACAGGCCTGATTTTTGTTCAAGCTCAAAGTAACACAGATAGTGGTAAGTTATTATCTAATAAAGGAGTCAGCAAATTACGGCCCATAAGCTGAATCTGGTCTGCCATTTGTTCTTACATAACCTATGACCTAAGAGTTATTTTCTCAGATGAACATTTGCAATTATTTTGAGCAAAATATTATCTCCCTCCCTCATTTCATTCTTCCGATTAGTGAACTTGCATTTTAAAAATTGTATTCACTTATTGTTATATATTGATATTTATTAATAAATATCTCTGGCCATATTCTTCTTCTCTTGTATATAGCCTAAATTTTGTCTTTTGGCCACCGGTCTAAATGATAACAATAATTGATTCTAAACTTTGCTGACCTTTGATCTGAGTCAAAGGGTATCACAAAATGTTTACACGTTGTTTCCTGTATGAATCACAAACTCTTTAAAGGGGTTTGAATCTTTCTGTAGATTATTTGGAGAAACTCAAGAAAAGTTCCTATGCGAAAATAATCAGTGGTGATATTTTTAATCTATTGGCTAGAAATCCTAACCAAAAAGATTCCTAAAGGAAGAAACTAATCAGCTACCTAATAACAGTATTTAAAATTTCTCATAGTGATTTTGATTCTGATGCAGATACTGGCTAGGTTCTTCCCAAAATGCTTGTGTGTATATAATTAGTTGAGCAAGGAATAACTTTTGCACTATGTATTCCAATTGACTTATGTATATAAAACAACCAAACATATGGTGTCTGAAACAACAAAAAATTAATTTTAAAAATTTTCTTCTATGAAAACAAAACCAAATTTAGGAGAATAGTTATTCAGGATAAATGAAAAAAAAATGTGCTTTTATGGGAAAAATGAGTTAATAGTATTTTCTTGACAACTGAGTTAAATTAAAATTTAAATATGTTTATTTTAAATCAAATTCACCTAGAGCAGACACTAAATCATACAGAAGAGATGACACTGAATTATTCCAATAGGGAATATCCAGTTTGTGAATTATTAAAGAATGAAGGAATCCCCAAAGTCACAAAACAGCAATTCACAGACATCTCATTGTCCATACTCTTCAATATTCTGCAAGTTTCTTAAGTACTCATGAGTTAAAACACATACACACACACACACACACACTTCCCCAACAAAACAAAACAAAGTTTTTTACTGTCTTTACCAGACAGCAGCTTTCTTGAAAGAAAAACCTAAAACTAAAGATTGAGTGAGGAGGGAATGCTGGGACATAGCACAGTGGCAGAGTGCTTGCTGGGCAAGACACTGAGTTCAATTTCTAGCATCAAAAAAAAAAAAAAAAAGATACAGGGGGAGTAGCAGGGTGGCCTAGTCTTCCAGTTCAGTGACTGAAATGTGAAATTTTTAACTACCAGGCTTAAGGCCCTGGGTTCAATCCCCACCATCACCACAAATAAAACAAAACAAAATAAACACAGGTATATGTACACACCTTGGTTTAATCATCAGGTAAAATGAGAACATTAATAAACCCTTCAAAGGGCTTGAAAATTTTTTGTCTAAGAAATGAAATACTGAATAATATTAGATATTTATACATGCATGTGTTTTATATATATATTCAATGTAAAAAATTGTGAAATTATACAAGTGCTATAATAAACATTGACTATTATTTTGTAAAACTTCAGGCAGGACTCTAAGAAAATATGAAACTAATGGTCTCCTATAATCATAAAAATATTGAAGTAAATATCTCTACAAGATACTCTAAGGCACCATGGGAAGAGTTCTATAACTCTTTTATTTATTTGGTTTTACTAAATGTATTTTCAAAATAATAACACTATTCAACTTTCACTGTGCCAAAATCTCTTAAGTATTAAAAGAGTTCTATTCAACTGGACTTGCTTTGATATTTAAACTTTCATATATCCACTTCATTCTCTCTTCATTTGCAGCCATCTGACAACCTGCCTCTGTTGTTGTCCTCATTGTGTTCTCAGAAAATCACCAGTTTGCTAATATGAAAACTTCATTTACTCCAAATCTAATCTCTTGACTTCTACTCCTTACTTCCTCTCTTCATCTGAAATTTGACATATTCCCTAAAGAGAACGAATCCCTTTTACTTCCTTTCTCTTATAAAATCTCAAACTCCTAAAGTCTTAGTTAACTAAATCACTGTTATGTTAGATTCATCTGGGTGAGTTCCACATAAGGATGAAATTTCTCCCTTTCCACCCTCTACTTCATGTGTGCATGTATGTATGTATGTGTGTGTGTATTTGTTTATTTTTTGGTACCCAGGGACACTTAACCAATAAGCCACATCCCCAGCCCTTTATATCTTTATACTTTGAGACAGGTTTTCGCTAAGTTGCTTAATCCCTCACTAAATTGCTGAGGCTGGCTTTAAACTTGCAATCCTTCTGCCTTAGCCTTCCAAGCTACTGGAGTTACAGACATGTCTTTATTTTTATAACTTGCTAAAGTTTCCATGTTAACCTGCTATCTGAAGGAATTCACAGCAATACATCTTTATCAAATCACCATTTTTTAAAAGACACAATTTAAATGTCAATTGTTAAGCAAAGTTCTCCCTCATTCTCAAGCTAAGAAAAAGATTTCTTTGTAATGGCTAAACTTAACAATTCAATTATACTACTCACATGCTAATATATTACATGTTATCCTATATTATAGTTGTTTCTAATCTTATCTCTCCTACTACCCTGTAAAATCCTTTAGCACAAAGATTGTGTCTCATTCATCATGGGGTTTACATAACATAAAACTTAATTCATGAAATGAGTGAACAAATCTGTAGTTAAGAGATAAAAAGTTAAGGGCTGGGGTTGTAGTTCACTGGTAGGTGAGAGACAGAGTTTGATCCTCAGCACCACATAAAAATAAATAAACAAAATAAAGGTATTTTGTCTATCTACAACCATGGGGGGGTGTGTTTGTAAAAGGCTGTAAAATGGGAAACCTGATCTATTCTTATTCTCAGGTATATTTAAGTTCCCCAAATCAGGATGAAAGAGAGTTATTTATGGTTGCTTCAAATGACATTGCTTCATTTTCTGGAACAAAAGATATTAAAGACGACACATTTTAAAATGGCCTTTCATATTCTTTTAACATAGATTGAGCATTCTTTAGATTTCTTAAAAATATTTATCTGTATCATAGATACCCAGAGATGAAGCAGAGTACTAAGACCGTCTATTTCACACTTGCATACTAATGTCCTTCACATTTGAATTAAAACTTATATAAATTTCCACCCATGAAGACATACGAAGCATAACATTAAAACTTAAAATAACACAAACCAGGTGTGGAGGCACATAACTGTAATCCCAGTGACTCATGAAGATAAGGCAGAAGAACTATAAGTTTAAGACCAGCCTTAGCAACTTAGCAAGACCTTTTCCCAGAAAATTTTTTAAAAGGATGGGGTACATGTAGCACAGTGGTAAGTGGTAAAGCATCCCTGGGGGGTTCAATTCCCAGTACTGAAAATAAAAAACACAAACAAATAAATAACAAAAACAAAACAAAAAATACACTAAAAGAAAAGCTACAATATGTGAATAACCAACATGTTAATTGTATTTCATGACCATTTCATCTTATTACTTATAAAACATATAATATCTTACCTACACAAGTAAATACAGACTGAGAATCCCTTATCCTGAATGCATGGCAACAGAAACTTTTAGATTTTGGGTGTTTTTGGATTCTGAAATATTTGCATATATATAGGAAATGAGATATCTTGGGGATAGGACCAAAGTGTAACCAGAAAATTCATTTATGTTTCATGTATACCTCATGCACATAGTCTGCAATTTTATGTAATATTTTTAAATAACTGTGTGCATTAATAATGTTGTGAAACGTTCTACCTATATTAGTGGCTCAGAAAGTTTTTAATTTTCAAGCATTTCAGACTTCAGTTTTATTAATTAAGGATGCTCAATCCTACAGGCAATCAAGAAGAGTCTCATATTTTGTATAAAATACTAACACACTCATAAGATTTAGTACATGGGTGCTAAGAATAACATCCTTAACATGTGCCATTATTAATTCTGATGAGCCTCATTTAAATTGTTATTTCATGATGCATATATAATTAGCAAATAAACATTAGTAGATGCATACTATTAGCAGATGTAGACACACAATCCTATGTATATTCATATATTAATAGATATACTTTTAAAAAGACATTAAATGTGAAATGAGCTATCATTCTTGGTTTTAAAGTCTTTCCTAAAATGTAATATTCACCTTTATTAAAATTCACATGCTAGTTTGCCTTTTTATTCCCTACCCTAATTAATAAAAGGGAAAAGTGGCCATTTTTTTTTTTTCTGACCCTTTCTTAACAAGTTGTTCAGGTATACAATTATAACTTGATGCCATTCGATCTCCACTGTGTACCTTGAAATTATAATCCAGTATAGAATCAGTGGATTATGAGATTTGGAAAATGCATCTAGCCTAGAGTTTTCTCAATGTGAACCAGCGAAAGGTGGATTTTATACATAAAAATGAAGGCAGGAAGGCATTTGTAATGTCACCAGTGCTGAGTGATCAGCAACGGCAGTACATACCTAGGCAGACAAGGAATACTCAAAGATATACTGTTCAAAAAAAATTTCTAACATTCCAGCAATAAAAATTCATCTGGTAAATAAGTGATTGATCTGAAGTGATAAATATCATGTTGGGAAGGGGAATGGCAAGCCCAGTAAGGCTATTCATGCTGTGTCTCCAGTTATATAAACTACTTTTCCTAAACTCTTATTAAAATCTATAAACATGAATAATTTATTTATAGTAGCAACATACACCAGCAAAATATTGATAATAAAAACATGGGGTTATAGTTTAGGCTCTGTTACATAATATCTAAGGTTTTTTGGGTAAATTATTTAATTTTTATGATTATCTTCTATAAACTTGAGCAAAGAAGCAGGGACCACACTGGAGGAAGGGAGAATGGCAGAGGTCCAGAGGATGCCAGGAGATCCAAGGAGACCCCCTATATGAGTAAAGGACACCAAAAAAGCAGTTCTAGGAAGGAAGCAGAAAAAGGAAAGATAGTGTCTCACTCAAGCAAGACAATTATTCTAATTATGCAACAAGTGACAGTACGCAAGTTAAATACCAATTATAATGTGTAATATTTAATATTCATATTTAATGATGGAACTCAAACACGTGTAATGTGGGATTTAACTATAAATTCCAGTTGTTTTTAACAGGTTTTGTTTATTTGTGATATAAAGCAGTTGAAATGAAGTATTATGTCAAACTATGAGTTAAAAGTCAAGGTTTTAGATCTTTATTAGACTGTCCCATCTTTTACAGTATTTCTTTTTTATGACAGTGGCCCATATTTCTTGTTACTATAATACATATTTGGGAATTAACTGTTATATTAAAAACTTATAAAAAATAGGTAACAGCAACAACAAAAACAGACTAAAACCTAAAAAATTAATTTTATTGTTGACATCTTATCTACTCAGGAAAATTAAAAGTTCATCTTATTATATTTCAAAAGTTCATCTTACTATATATGCCCAAACAATTCTCCTTTTTAATCTTAACAATACATTTATTACATTCGAAAGCAGCACCTAGGGATGGGGATGTAGCTTAGTGGTAGACTGCATCTAGAATTTTTTTTCTTTTTATTGGTTCTTTTTAGTTACATGTAACAGTAGGATTCATTTTGACATAATGATAAAAGCAAGAAATAAGCTTCTGCATCTATAATCATTATCAGACTAAAGATATATCTTATCTTTTCTGGTATCATATTAATCCCTTAACATTAAATATGGTTTTATTTATTTTTTAAATAAAGTTTTCATCTTTTAAAACAGTGACTATCCTTTAAGGTTGAGGTCAAATTCATTCAATCACTTAACATATAAGGCACTTAACATGTGCTAAGGAAAATTCTAGACTAAGGACACAGATAGCAATGGAAAATACACAAAGCCATCCTCAAAATGATCCAGTGTCTCGTGTGACACCTTTCTTTATTACCTCTGTTCAAGGTGGGCATCTCTTCTTGAAGTTTAAATTCTCAGTGTTCATACTTAACTTGTAATTGTGTGTGTGTGTGTGTCTGTGTGTGCATGCATCTGTTGCTAAAATTAGAACTTAAGGTTCTTTCAGGCAAAAATAGTGTCAATCTTCCTAAAAATTATGTGTTTTTTGTATCTTTATATGAGTGCATGGTAGTTTCACTAAAAATTACTTCTTGTCAAACAGTTGCTTAAATTATTTTGTGGCTTGGAATGTTAGAGGAAAAAATGAAGAGTGTACATATTCAGGATCAAATAAAATTATCTTATTCCTCAGAAAAAGTACTTACAAAAGTACTTTACTTTACAGTAAAGGATTAAACTAACTTTTGTTAGACAGAAATTAGCTGTTAGAGCCACAAAGAGAAAACTAACCTTTGATAAACAGAAAGAATGAAAAAGGTTCATCAACTAGCAAAAAAAAAAAAAAGGAGGGGTGCTACTAAAGTAGAGAAGTGAAAATCATAATATTTGAATATAGTTTCTTTCATTTCCAAAGAAAGGAATGAAAAATATCAGTTCTTATAGTTAAGTAACTGAAATACAGTTATTACTTAAAAAAAAAAAAATCTAAGAACACAGACATTCTTGGAGAGTCTTAATAAGCAAAGTAACTAACCTCATTAATTCTTCCACTTTATCATCTACATCTAGGTCCTCTTCTGAGGCTTCAAAACTATATGACCTCTGACCCATGCTGTTTGCATGATAGCGAGTTGGTGACATCTTCCCATTGGATGTAGACAATCGCTCATTATTCTCCCTCCCATTTTGATTGGTAGTGCAAGGCTGTGGGGAGGTATCATAACTGTTGCTAGGTGATGGGGACATTCCCGAATGCTGGGTCTGTGTAGAGGCTGTAGCTGTAGAGGAAGATGCTGGAACATTGTTGGTACTGTTCCCATATGAACTTCCTCCATAACTGGACCTTCTTCCAAACTTGTCACTATGCTCTTGATCAAGACGGTCCAAAGTCTCCAAGGCATGGAGAATTTCATGTTTAGTCATTCCAGTACGCCGAAGGCGCTGAAGCAGATCTATCTGTTCTATGGTGAATCTGGGTTCATCTGTATAGTGAGACATGGTTTCCAGCAAACTAAAAAATAAAAATAAATAAATAAGTTTTTTTTAATTGACAATATCTACCAAACAACACATCATTATAGATAATGCAGAGCAGAAGAATTATTATCTCTTTATCAACTTCTTTATGGAAAATAGTAAGAGATGGCCCATGCTAGAATGTTTTTGCCATGGCAAAACATTAGGAAATTAAGGTTCAGAGTATTTTTGTACCTTCCAAAAACTCTGGATAAAAAATAGAAAAATAATTTAAGCCTATGTCTTACTGACAAAAGCATAAATCTCTTTACTTTTCAATATACAGTAGGACTTATTAGAATCAAAGGATTCTGGATAATGACTTCTATATTCCTTTGAGTCTCTAGTTAAACACCATTTAGATAAAATCACTCTATTTACTGAGGTACTATGGGGTTCTAGTAATAGATTTTATAATTAAAATTTATTGTTCCATCAAACTGTTATATTGTGTGCATGTATAAATATGTAACAATAAATTCCACCATTATGGATAATTATAATGTACCAACAAAAATAACTTAGAAATCTTTGTTCCATCTAGAATTTATATTTACTTAATCAATGTGAAAGGATTTGGGCTTTATTTCATTGTAAATGAATAGTTGTCCAATATGCTTTACTGAAGAACGTGCTTCTTTTCTGATCTGAAAGACAACTTTTATCATATACAAAATTTAAGCTGCCAGAAATCTAGAACTTTTATATTAAGTTTCCATAGTTTTTAAACCAGGCTTATTAATAATTAAAAACAAACATGTACATTGTATGGATAGAAATTAATATGCTGCAGTTCATTTGTGTCTGTAGGCACAATATCTGCCTTGCCCCTATACATATTATCGTCTGCTTTCTTCCAGGACTTATTTGTGACAAACTATCATGAAGTTAACTAATCCCTAAAAAACAAATGCCAAATGTCTTCTCTGATATAAGGGAGGTGACTCAAAGCAGAGTAGGGAGGAAGAGCACGAGAAGAAGATTACCACTAAACAGGGAAGATAAGTGGGAGGGAATGGAAGGGAGAAGGGGAATTGCACGGAAGATGGAAGGAGACCCTCATGATTACACAAAATACATATACGATGGTGTGAGGGGGGAAGGGGAAAAAAAGAGAGAGAGAGAAAAGTATCACAGTAGATTGGGTAGAGAGAGGTGATGGGAGGGGAGAGGAGGGGAGGGGGGGATAGGGAGGGCAGCAGAATACAACAGACACTAATATTGCTGTGTATATATACATGGCTCTATAACCAATGTGATCCTGCAATCTGTACACGTGGAAAAATGAGAATTCATACTCTATTTGAATCAAATGAATGATATGTCAAGATCATTGTCTTGAGCAACTAATAAAAAAAAATTTAAAAAACCCAAAACCTATTTTCATGATTACTATATTCTTTCTTGATTGCCTAGGTTTCTCCTCCAATATTTTATAATGAAGATTTTTAAATATATAAAAAGGTTAAAAATAAATATACAGTTAACGCCCGCACACTAAAGACCTAGATATGACCATTCTCTTTTTCGACATTTGCATCATTGTATGTACCTCCAGTCCTTTATCCATACATCATCCAATTCATTGAGTTTCTGAATGCTTTTCAAAATTAGTTACAGACATCTCTACAGCATGTACATCATCAATTTGAGCTTAGTCTCTGTTCAGGTGAATTTTTCCTCTTGAGGTAAACTTTACATTAAAAAAAAAAAGTTTATCTGCCTCGTGTGGTGGTGCACACTTGTAATCCCAGCAGCTCAGGAGGCTGAGGCAGGAAGATCACGAGTTCAAAGCCAGCTTCAGCAATAGCAAGGTGCTAAGCAACTCAGTGAATAAATAAAATACAAAATAGGACTCGGGATGTGGCTCAGTGGTCAAGCACCCTTAAGTACAATCCATCCCCTGTACAAAAACAAACAAACAAACAAAAGTATACCAATGTATGTTTTACTATCCTAGAGTTTTGAGAAGTACACACACCTGCCTATATCATACTTTCACCTCAGGAAATTTCCTCAAGCACCTCCTCAGACAAGCCCTGTCTTTTTTCCTTGGAGGCAACCACTCTTCAGGGTGTTTCTTCCTCCAACATGGATTACTTTTCCCTGTTTTAAAATCTCATTTCTACTCTCTATTTAATCTTACGTGTTAAGCCACTTTCATTAAGTTTAGATATTTTGAGATTCCCTAATGACGATGATGTATCAGCAGCTTGTTCCTTTTCATTGCTGAGTAATGTTTCACTGTAGGACTAGACCACCTATTTCTTTATCCATTATAGTAATAGGCACTTGGGTTTTTTCCAATTGTTAGCTATTCTAAATGCTTTGGTTATTGTAAGTGTATTTTATTCATTTTCTTTTTAGCTTCTCTGCCAAAATATATCATTATCTCATTGGGAGAAAAAACTTTTGACCAGAATGATTCATTAACCTTTTCAATTTCAAAAGATCTATAAACCATCTGGGCATGGTGGTGCACACCTGTAATCCCAGCAGCTCTGGGAGCCTGAGGCAGGATCTAAAGTCCAAAGCCAACCTCAGCAATAACAAGGTACAAAGCAACTCAGCGAGACCATGTCTCTAAATAAAATACGGCTGGGGATATAGCTCAGTGGTCAAGTCCCTGATTCAATCCTGGATACCCATTCCCAAAAAAGAGATCTAAAAACCTTGTTTAATTCACACAATCTCTTATAAATATTATGTAGGGTTGGTAGTATTCAAGTATCTTCACTGACACACACATGCGTTATCTTAAAAAATTCATCCAAGTTGGATACTACTAGTTTGTGCACTTTAGTAGTTTATTATACTTAAATGTTAAATCTCTTGAAAAAGCTATGTGAATATTTTCCTAACAGTGTATAAGAGATATAAGAGACATTTAACACTTTAGTTTCTGTTTAAATCCTCAGCACTTAATCTACTCTATCAAGTGCTCAGCAATATAATAATTCTAGGCAGTTCTTTCTCAAAGAAGCTGCCAAATCCAAATAATTTATCCTTAATTTATTTTCTGGGTAAATTTTGGTTCATATACATCATTCTTTACCCCCTGAAAATCAGACAGACAGCCTGGCACAGTGGCACATGTCTAGAATTCCAGTTACTCAGGTCAACAGAGGATAACCTCAAATTTAAGGCCAGCCTGGGCAACTTAACAAGATCCTGTCTCAAAAAAAAAAAGGAGGGGGGGGGGGGGGGGGGCTGAAAATTTAAGTTAGTGGTAGAACACCCTGGCTTCAATTCTTAGTACCAGGGGTGGGGGAGGGCAGGAAGAAGGAGGAGGAAGATGAAAATAGGAGGAGAAGTGGAGGGGAGGAAGGAAGAGGAGGACAGAAAAGAAGAAAGAACCACTCTTGCTACCTTCATTCATCATCCTATCAAAATATTTCATAAGCTAATCTTTAGATTTGTGACTTCAAGATATATTTTATTGTATGGACAAAAAAGATCAATCATGATATTTTTCAATTCTATTTATACTAGAGCACATAGCAATTTGTTTCTAATTCTTTAAATCTTGCCCTGTTTGTGTATTAGCATAAAACAAAAGTAAATTATGTGACTTTCACCTATTACTGAAAAGCATCCATCCACCCCAACGCATGAAGCAGAACTGTCAGGGCTATCTTTCACAGTATTTGAAACTATCATTATATACTATGTGTACATGTGTCAGTTATTAGGGACTGAACGGAGGAGGTGTGCTCTACCACTAAGCTATACCCTCACCCTTTTTTATTTTGAGACAAGGTCTCACTAAGTTGCCCACACTAGCCTCTAACTTGTGATTCTCCATCCGCAGACTTCCAATTCATGGGATTAAAGGTGTATGCCACTGCACTCAGCCAAAACTATGTAATATTTTCTATTATTCGGCATTCATTTACAATTAGAAACCATTTTTATTTCAGAGGTCACAAAAAGAAACAGCAGGCACTTATTATTTTGTTTGCCTAGAACATCTAGCTATTTCCAAACACATATTCTTGGGGATGCTACTCACAACAGGGTGAGCTTGATAAAGAGACCAAGGCTTACTCTCCTTAAAAATTTCTAATAAAACTGGGGATAAGAAGGGTAGTCACTATAACTGTGCTTAGTTACAGAAAGATGCTACTCTGGTGAACTCTTTACCATGCACAGGAAGCTAGTTTGAGGAATAATAAAGTAGACATACCAAGAAACGCAGAGAACAATGGAAAAAAGCTCTGCAGTGTTCCTGTCTTTTGTTCCAGCAATTCTTAAGTCTCAAACATTACTGCTCTCATTGCTGCTTTATTATGGGAGAGAATAAATTTCCCTTTATGCTTTACCTTGTTTAAATAAAATATCTATAACTTTTACCAAGAGAAGACTATAATGCAAAGATATAGCTAAAGCAAAAAAGACCAATAGATGTTAGAAGGGAATGGATGATCACCATAGAGTTAGAATGCCAAGGGTAAAATGAGCATAATCAAATCACGCATTTGACAAAGATACAGTATTTTATGAGAAAAACACCAAGATCAAAAGTATTCTTAGATATTGAGAACAATATCCCAATATGCATTAACATAAACAAAGGCAAACATTATATTTTCACACTTATTTATCATAAGTTACCTAGTTTAAACACATAATCATCAAATTAAATGACCTATAAAGGTCATCTAAATCCATGATACCAGCAATTCTTTTATAACAAATAGATAACATTTAAGAATTGAATTAATTTCCTTATGTACAAGGATTGTTCAAAGAATGAGGGACATTTTTCACTGTAAATTACTAATCTGTATGCAGACACAGACCAACAATAATTGAAAATAATGTGATAAGAATTTAAACACTATAATAAGAGACAATGTTTAAAATACAAAAGAACAATTAAATTATGGAATTATGCTTGGTTCATAAGCCAACATTTCAGGAAAAGACTGTAATCATGAGACCATAACAATGAAGTATTTTGCAATAAATTATATCATCATTTGAATATATACCTATACCCTTCTTAACTGGGCATGAAGTCCAGAACATCCTTTTATAAACTCAAGTCTACAAACATGTAAAGCAAAGAAGGTTAAAGCCTTCATGAATGATTAACCTTGAAATCACATGCGTAAAAATGACATTACTACCTTACTAACATCTACAGTTAATAGGATTTGACTGGATCTTTATTTAAAACACAAAGTATCTTCTTCAGCTGGATTCTGATGTTTCTATCTTTTTATCTGTAATGATTAGGTAAAATAAGTTTTGTTTTGCACGTGTGGTGTTTACTGCAAGATGATTTAATACATGGTAGAGTCAACCATAATATGCATCAGCTAAAGATGTACTCAAGCCTAACTCACAACGGGAACAGTGCCTTCTTTCTCAATAATACTGCAATCAAAGGAACAGCAATTTTAAAAAAAGAAAATGACAATTGAGAACAAGTAAGAAATGAACTTCTATTGGGAACTGAGCTTAAGAGTATAGTAAAAACGATTCTTTAATTCAAATCAATAGGAGAACTGATGAAAACATAATAGAGGCTTTAACTAGAGATAATGGTCTAAAAATGTTTTTTCCACAATAAAAGAACTTTGAGAGAAGTAGGATTATATTCCAATGTGTTAAGCATTCTTTGATGGTTTTCAATTATCACTGAGTTTTTTTTTTAATTGTAGCTATCTTAATGCACATCTGGTGAAAAAAAAAATCTGTTATGTGGTCTTGAAATGATTCCTAAGACACAGTTCGCTACCTGAATGATACATGCTATTTTTCTATAAGAACTGGGAAAATATTCCCTCTGTGTTCCAGAGTGCAACAGCCTATTAGATTCTACACATGAGAATTTGGAACTACTCTTCTTCCCACCTTGAGAATATTAAATCTTATCAGACATTTATGAGAACTTGCAGTCAATACCTCTGCCCTTGGGAAGCTCCCTTACTTTCTCAGGAATATTACAACACACCACATCAGACTCCTTATGTGAGTTACTGACCTTAACTTCTAGAATTTAAAACACACATGACCTTAGGAGTCTAACCAATACTTCAAGAGCTCAGGCATGACAAGTCTTGGGCTTTGAAGTTTTACCTGCCAATACTGTCCTCTAGAATCAAGTGACTTTATTTATATGTCTTCGTGTCTTACAAGGCATCCACTGTGGTGGTCTAGCCAAGAATCATTTCTCTGTCTTAGACTTCACACAGAAGCCAACTTCTAGTCTAACTGAACAACCATATTTGAATAATTTTGGAACTATGAAATTAAATGTACCTCATCTACCAATTGTGTCCCTCGTAAGATTTGCTTGTATTATTCTCCCCCTACTTAAGAATTGTGAACCTGAAAAAAAATCTTTGTATGTTAATAATTGTGTGATTTTGATCTTCTTCTATCACATCCAACAAAATTCAAGTAGAAACAAGAAAGTTTAGAGGAAGACATAAATTGGGTATAGAATCAGAGAACTGGAGATCATTTAGAAAAAAATCACTCATTCAATTAATATATATTGAGTGCCTACTATGTGTTAAGACCCTATATGAATCACAAAGGATGCTACAATGAACAAATCAGGCAAAAATTTTTGCCCTCAGGATGTCATTGATAATGGCTATTGAGAACAGCTATAAGTAAATAAATGATCAAAAAGGGGAAACCAAGGCCCCAAAAGATGAAGTGTCTTCGCAAGGCTATAGCTATTTAACAGAAACTTAGGCTACAGTTCACATCCTCTAAATGTATTTCAGAGACTTTTCACTAAATCATAGAATCAATGAGATGAGAAAAACTTTAATGAAAAACCTTAATAACAAGGAAAACCTATCTTAATGTCTATTTATTGGATTATAGAACTTTCAACCAAAACGGAAGAAATTTAAGTGAAAGACAGACTCCACCAAATTTTAGAAAATATTTATGCTAAAGGCACTCTGCATTAGACTCTAAACATGATCTTAATGAGCTAATAGATACTTTATCTTCTCCTAATTCTGAAATTCCCGGAATACTTTTATTTAGAGGGCTATTTAGTATGAACTGGTGGTTACAGTTCATATTCTAGCATAAAAACACTCTCAACACAATACCACCATCTCAATTTGTATTTTTTGCCTGATTCCAAAGAAAGGCCACAACTACATCAGCTAACAGATTAACTACATCACCATCACCAGCAGGTAAAGAGAAATGGCTAAGGCGATGGAATTGTGCACACAAAAAGCAGCATTAAGGTAACATGCTCCCCCATTCTGCTTGTCACAAAGAACTTGACACTACCTCTCTTCAATAGTTTGTTATCTATCTCACAATCTCCTTAGCTATTAAGCAGTGAAAAATGATTAAGTAATTTCATGCTCAACTAAAACAATGTCAAAATCCAGAGTTGAACAAATGATAAAACATTGATAGATTTGAAAATTCATTCTTTACTAAATAATTATGACACTTGCTCATCTTAATATCAAGTAGACGGACCATTTGATTCTTCTTCTAAAATATTCTACAAATGTCTGAAGTCAAATATGAATCATAAACATAATAATATATTAAAGCAACTCAGAGAATACAAATTGAGAAAGATTACATACTTACACCACTGGAAAGGAACTGAGCATACTTTACATGAGGTGGATCAATAAGTTTTCCAGAGATGATCAGTGTTCTTTACCATTCTGTAGAATAAAGATAGAAAATTGAGAAATATTTATGTTACTCAAGAGTTGAATTAAAAAGTCTTACTTATATAACTTAAGGGTACTGAGCTACCATTAACTAATGTTTTTAAGATTATTTTGAAATAAAACATTGGTTTAAAGCAAAATTTTAAGAAATCAGAAAAGTATCAATGATGTCCAAACAACTCACTTGAAATAAGTACTGAAAATATCTAAGTTCAATCTGTTTCCAGGAACAACCCAAATAAGCAACAGAATACATATATTATAAGGACATTCAAAATACCTTTTGATATTAACATCAGTCATTTATAAAAAATTCTTTTTTGGGAAGTACTAGGGATTGAACCCAGGGGTACTACCACTGACCTACATCTCCAGTCTATTCATTCATTCACTTATTTATTTGGCACTGGGGATTTAACCCAGGGGCACTTTATCACTGAGCTACATCCCTACACCTTTTTTATTTTTTATTTTGAGAGAGGATTTCACCAAGTTGCTTAGGGCAACTTGGTTAAATTGCTGAAGCTGGCTTGAACTTTCAGTCCTCTTCCTCAGCCTCCCCAGCAGCTTGGATCACAGGCATGCACTACAGAGCCCAACCTTATTTTTTAATTTGAAGCAGGTTCTTGGCTAGGTTGCTTAGGGCCTTGCTAAATTGCCAAGGTTGGCCTCAATCTTGTAATCCTCCTACCTCAACCCCCCAAGTTGCTTGGATTATAGACATGTGTCACTGCATCCAGCTATAAAGAAGTCCTTTATGAAGAAAAAACAAATCCTGGCATGAACATAACCAAATGTCATAACTATAGGGTAATTCCAGGTTCTAAGTATATATTACTTATTTTATTGCTAGAATACTCTGAAGTGGCTTAATTCCTCTAAGTCTCAATTTCAGCATCTATTAAAACTGGATAATAATTACTTCAAAGAGTTACTAAAGACTTCTAAATTTTTTTTTTTTAATAGGGCACAGTAGTGCATGTCTATAATTTCAGCCACAAGGGAGGCTGAGGGAAGAGGATCTTAAGTTTGAGGATGTGTGGGTAACTTGGCATGACCCTGTCTCAAAATAAAAACTAAAAAGGGATAGGGCTGTAGCTCAGTGGTAGTGTGCCCCTGGGTTCAATCCCCAGTACTGAAACAAACAAAAAGAATGAATAAATAGAGGCTGGGGCTGTAGCTCAGTGGCAGAGCGCTTGCCAAGTACACATGAGGCATTGGGTTTGATCCTCAGCACCACATAAAATAAAGGCATGCTGTCCATATACAGCTAAAATAATAATAATAATAATAATAAAAGAATAAATAAATAAACAAGCTTACATGGAGATGATGAAACATTTCTCAAACTAACTATTGGTAGAGGCTATTACTTATTACTATCAATTTTATAAAGGGTTAGATACCCATGTTGGATGATGACTGTACACAGTATACATTAATAATAGAGTGAGTCTAGTAATGGTATCTGCTGACTTGTATTCTACCACTTTATTCACAATCGAGACATTTTGGCCTCTCTCGATTCACGCATATCTTCACAAAACAATGGAAGCTACTATTCATGATATAGGAACCAAAGATCACAAAAACTAAACTTATTAGTAGTTTCACATCATAATGAATAGAAAACTATTTTCATTAACTCAAAGTTAAGATTGTAAATTAGAAAAAAGTTACAAAAACATTCATTAGAAACTCTGGTTAAAAAACAAATTCAGCACTGAATTATATTAAGAAAAACCAAAGTGTCTAACAGTGAATGATATATGTGAAATGTACAGGGTAAAGTTAGAAACCATTCACATTTGCATATCCTAAATTGTGGCCTTAATGAAGTTCCTGTTGTAGTTAATTTTCTTGCTGACTTAAAAAAATACCTGTCCTAAAAACGTAGGTGTAAAGTACAAAGAAAATCTACTGAAAATTTTGCTGACTGCATTTCTTAGGCAAAATAGCAAAATCTTTTCTTGTGGATAAGAAAGTAAACCCCAGAAAAAAACAAAGGTAAAAAAAAGAATCACAGTAACATATTCTACAACAAAAATGGCCATGAAATTTAATTTTACTTTGATTTCTAGGTTGGTGTGTTGGTGCCTACAGTGGGAGCTCATTCCAAAATAACAGCTTCCTATAATTATTAATAATACCGTTCATACAGTATTCACTTCTATCCATCTAAAATATCTGTTAAAAATACAACAACTCAGGAAACTGAGGTACGAGGATCACAAGTTCAAGACCAGCCTTAGCAAGACTCTGCTTCAAATTAAATGAATAAATAAATAAAACAAAAGGATTGGGGATGTAGCTCAGTGGTAAAAGAACAGCTGGGTTCAATCCCAAGTACCTAATAAACAAAAATGTTAAATATACAACTACATAATCCTCACAACCCACAAATTAGATATTATGGGTTCCTTCAATTAACACACTAGGCAGTGAACCTATTTCCAGACTAGACACATTTTTTAAAAACATAATGCATACATATGTACATAAACATAATAGATGCAGGTTTCAAAAATTATAAAATGTCAAAAGGTAAGAGATGTAGATATCCTCCATTAGTTCTCAGTCTAAATTTCCTATGAATCTTTACAAAAAAAGGAAGAAATATGTACAGATCTGCAAATATCTGACATACAGTTCTTTTTTAAATAGTGGTTTTAAAAAAACCTTTTATTGGGGCTGGGATTGTGGCTCAGTGGTAGAGTGCTGGCCTAGCAAGGCCAGGGGGCTGGGTTCGATCCTCAGCACCACATTAAAAAAATAAAGATATTATGTTGTGTCCATCTACACCTAAAAAATAAATATTAAAAAACCCTTTTATTGCAAAAAATTCCAAACATATATAAAAGTAGAAAGAATAGAATAACAAATGCTATATATCCGCAACCCAGCTTGAACAAGGCCAACCTATTATCTTTCCCCTTCATGCTACACTGTGCCAATGGATATTTTCAAGCAAATTGCAGACATCTCACCATTTTAACATAATCTTAGCAAGCTTCAATAGCTGGTTTCCAAAAAAGTAGATTGAACAGAAAAACTTAAATACTGACTAGAAGAGTATATAAAAAAGGGTTAAACACAAGAGAAAACTAATGATAGCTTACCTGATGAGAAGAAAATAACTATCTACAAATACATATGAAAACAGTGACTCAATGTAATTAGTGTTTAGAATTTGTGTTCTACAAAGATAGAATAGAAAACTATGTGATACACTTTTTTTTTTAAAGAAGAAAGAGAGAGAATTTTAATATTTACTTTTTAGTTTTTCGGCAGACACAATATCTTTGTTTGTATGTGGTGCTGAGGATCAAATGTAGGCCGCATGCATGCCAGGCGAGCGCGCTACCGCTTGAGCCACATCCCCAGCCCGGATACAGTGGTTTTTAAAAGACAAAATATTTAATACCAAACTTAAGCTGGCTTAGCCTATACTCCCAGTTATTTGGGAGGCTAAGGCAGGAAGTTCATTGAGCCCATGAACTTGGAGACCAGCAAGGACAATGTGAGGAGAACTCCTTGCAAAAAACACATACACCAAAAAAAAAAAAAAAAAGAGGAGGAGGAGGAGGAGGAGGAAGATAAAGAAAAGAAAAGTTTATGGCTTAGGAAGATGCTTCACTTTTGTCAAACATTCTTTTTCCCTTGAACAATACCAGATTAATGAGACCTTACTACATTTAGTTGTGATTTGAAAGGCACATGTAGTTTTGGGTAAAGAATGGTAGGTGAAGTGAGAAAAACACAGATTCACAGATACAAAAATTAAAAACACATCAAGACTAGAATATTAATTTTTCAAATAATGCACTTAAGATAGTTTAAAACTATAAATAATGACTACCACCATTACTTAATGAATAGTGTTATGGGCCAGACATCACTGAGTAAATATTTTACATCTAACAATTTATCTCATAGTCCTCTGAGGTAGACAATTAAGACAAGACCCTACCTGCCCAAGGTCAATTAGTGGTACACACCTGTAATCCCAATGACTCAGGAGGCTGAGGCAGGAGGATCACAAATTCAAGGTCAGCCTGGGTTACTTAGCGAAATCCTGTCCCAAAATAAAAAAATAAAAAATAAAAAGGGCTGGGGATGTAGCTCAGCAATAGAGTGCCCCGGGGTTCAATCTCCAGTATCACAAAAAATAAAAAAAGAAAAAGAAAAAAAGTTCATCACATGACTCCAACAGAGGGGTTAATTACTTGGGAGCAGAATGTAAGGAAATTGAGTTCCCCTGTCCTGGACCTAAAACTATATTACTTTTGTCCACCACCAAGTCATTTTTTTGGTGTATATTAAAGTTACAGATAAGGCCTACTCTTTTGATTGATTAAACACCCATGAGGCAAATGAACTGATTTTCATTTTTCTCAGACTTTCTTTTCCTAAACTCAGTTTGTTGTTTTTTCTTTTTCTTTTTTGGTAGTTGTAGATGGACAGAATGTCTTTATTTTATTTGTTATATGGTGCTGAGGCTTGAATCTGGTGCCTCATGTTTGCTAGGCAAGCACACTGCCACTGAGCGACAACCCCAGCCCAGTTTGTTGGTTTTTAAATATATATTTTAGTTGTCGATGGACATTTATTTATTTATTTATTTATATGTGGTGCTAAGAATCGAACCCAGTGCCTCATACATGCTAGGCAAGTACTCTACCACTGAGCCATAACCCAAGCCCCCTCAGCTTGTTTTTTTTTTTTTAAGTAAAATAGTGACATATTTGATTTTTCTTCTAAGCATGCTATATACTTGTTTTATGTGCCTATTACATCTGTCACTATTTCCTATTATCTGCATCCGCTCCTGAAGTAATATCTAGAACATAAAAGGGGCTATAAGCAGATAAAGAGGGTAAAAAATTCATATTCCATTAAGCTTCTGGAAATTGTCTCCAGACTAAATTATTTTGAAGCTTTATCAATAAACATAATTCATCAGAAAAGCCACAGAACTGACACAATGTCCT